TTCTCAGCATGGTGTCCTGGGGTCAAACATCTTCAGCTGTTTCATCAGTTACCTTCCCTGTATCATTAGATCAGAGGTGAAGATTTTCCAGATGATTGCAGTGTTCAGTACCAATCAGACCTGACCCAATACTGAAGCAATCTGTGCCTATCTGCACCAAGGTCTGGACAACATAAGGCAAGTAACATTTGAACCACAGAAATGCCAGGCAGTGATCATTTCCAACTGGAGAGATTCTAACCATTACATTCAATGGTCTTAGCACCTTTGAATTCCCTCTGCCCCCTGACAAGATCACCAGAATATCATTGAGCAGGGACTGAATTGGGCCAGCTTTTTAAATACTTTGGCCGCAAGAGCACGTCAAAGGCTGGGAACTCTGCAGGGAGTAACTCCCCTCCTGGTTTTCAAAAGCTGTTCATCATCAACAAATCACAAATCAATAATGTGAAGAAAGGTGCTCCGCTTCCCTGAATGAGTACATCTCCAACAGTAGTCTAGAAGCTCCACACAGTCTAGGAAAAAGCTGCGACTTCATTGACCTACTCCCTCTGTGCCTGATCCACTACCTTAAACATTCATTCTACTGTCATAGATGCGCAGTGGTTGCATTTTGTACCTTAAGTGAGTTGCTTTAGAGCATCCACGTTTCCGTTGACAGCACCTTCCAAATCCACAATGTGTGCCACTTGAAGGACGAGTGCAGTAAACACACAGGAGCACCACCTACAATCTGCTCTCCAGTCACTGACATCTTCAATAGCACTATATTGCCATTCCTTCGCTGTTAGTGGGTAAAGGAGCTTTCTTCCAACCAACAAAGGGGCAGCGCTTCAAAAGCTTGTGATTTCAAATAAGCCCGTTGGACTATAAGCTGGTGTCGTGTGACCCCAGTCCAACACTGGCACCTCCACTTCATTTTAAATGTTGTAATTGTACCCACTTCCACCACTTCCTCAGGAAGTTCATTCCACAAGCTCTGTGTAAAAAAATTTGCCCCTCGTGTCTTTTTTAAAATCCCTATACCCTCACTTTAAAAATGTGTCTCCTAGTCTTGAAATCCCTCATCTTTAACTCTGTCTGTACCCCTCATAATTTTATAAATTTCTATTTAGACCAGATGAACTTCAGCAGTTCAAGATGTGTCTCACTTCTGTCTTCTTAAGGGTGGTTAGTGATCAGCATTTAATGCTGGCTTTGTTGATGATGTTCACAGCCTAATCAAAGGATTTTTTTAAAAAACTATAACTCAATGATTTTCACTTTTTGTGAAGCACAGAGATGGGCAAATAACAAAAAGGAGTGTCTGTGATGCAGTAGAGAGCAGGAGAGATCAATTGAGAAAAGTTATGATGGTGAAGGGGAAAGTGAGTTATAGCCTCATGAAAGATGGGTCCAAGGAAGATATAAATGGTTGCAGGAAATATCTTGTATCTTGGATTTCACTCTGACCCCACAATCTAACAGACCAAATAGGAATTTGCATTTAAGTAATGGACCAAAGAACTACCATTCATTACTATACTCCAGCATCAGGCAGTGTCTTTAGATAAGATGAGGCATAAATAGTCAAGAAATTCATTGTCTCAACATTTTATCACATCTCCAGTCCATTTGCCTTCCGCGGTAATGTTTAGTTTCCCGTCTGTGCCCCTTCAAGTACAGTGTTATTCGGAAAGTACGTGTTATTCAACGTCAATCAAACTCTTTCTAAAGCTATTAATCTTTAAGAATTAAGAAAATACTTTTACCTGGGGAATGAAACTGGCCAGAATTAACTGATACAGATTGCAAATTTGTATCGATATATCCTAAGGGGTTCTGTTACTTTAATTTAGAAGGAGAATTTCAAGGCTTTGTTTTGCCTGTGATTATTCATTTTTCTCACACTTGCTGCAAGTCAACTAAATTAGATGATGTCCAGAAAATTGTATGTTGCCTGTTGAAGCAGAAAGGTTAGTAGGCCAAATGACAATCTCCTATCATCTTGAGCATGTTGAAATGCAGTATTTCACTGTCACTGACGCAGAGAGAAATTGTTATAATTCAATCGCCCAATCTCAAATGAACCACTCAAGACCCACTGATGGCTGATAGTGGGGGAGTGTAGGAAGAGCAGTTACTTTAAAATATTTTATAGAAATTGCTTCTTGTCTGTTTGCAGAAGTTAAAAAGTAATTTTCACTGGAATAGTAGAAGTTAGATAGGAGATTGCAAAGATACACAAGTGTATTTAGGTTTTAGCACAGTTATGAATTTCTATAAAGGCCCTAATTAGGAAGATTGCTGTGACTGAAAATTGCAACATTTCAGTCAATACTACAGAGCTTCAGAATTTGAAGGGGAAAAAATTGAGCCAGGCACAGGCTTGAGCTGAAGTCTACTGGCAAGTTCTGCACTTCAGGAAGGACTTTATGACTAGCACATTTTGCAAGCTCAGAAGCGGAATTAGGCAATTTCTCCCATTATAGCTACTCTATTAATGGTGTCTTTATACAAAATTGCTGGAGCTGACATGTATGTAACAGAGAGCCTGAAAAATTTAAACCAGTTCCAATTGTAAATGTCATTGGTTTCTGAGAGAGCGAATTCAGCAGTTGGCTGATTTTGACACAATCCTAAAAGCTGCTGATGCCGAAAATAATGCAGTTACCGTAAAAAATAATCCTGAAAGCAGCAGCTTTAAAAACACACGACCATAAATCTAGATTGCTCACCACCTTAATCTTGGGTGCTTAAATAGCTGCATTATTAAAGACAAAGTTCTGTTTACCCTGTACGAAAGAAATAGAAATTGCCCACTGTTTGATGGTTTACATACTTTAAAGCGTGCGTCACCGTGGGTGTACTGACATATATGTCCTGGATTATCCTGTTTTATGTAACTTCAGAAAAAAAGCAGTTGTTAGAATCATAGAATCCCTACAGGGTGGAAGCAGGCCTTTTTGGTCATTTGAGTACACACCAACCCTCCGAAGAGCATCCCACCCAGACCCAACCCCCCCCAAACCTATCCCTATTAACTCCACATTTCCCATGGCTAATTCACCTAACCTGCACATCCCTGGACACTGTGGGCAATTTAGCATGGTCAGTCCACCTGACCTGTATATCTTTGGACTGTGGGAGGAAACCAGAGCACCTGGAGGAAACCCACGCCGACACAGGAGAATGTGCAAACTCCACATAGACAGTCGCCCAAGGCTGGAATCAAACCCGGGTCCCTGGTGCTGTGAGGCAGCAGTGCTAACCACTGAGCCACCGTGCTCGCCAACATTTGACAATTGAAGACCATAATCTAGCAGAATATTTGATGCAGAGGTGCTCAATGACCTCCAAAATGCACAATATTTATGTCCTGCAGAGGCGTCCCTGAAAAGCCAAATCAATGTTATCCGAAGATACCCTTGAATACTCCATCTGAAGTATTAATTCCATACAGTCAGACTCCAATGCAAAATGTCTAAACTTCCTTGTTATATAGAGTCACAGGCTCAAAGTTACTGTAAAAATAGAGGAGAGACTAAGAGTGATCACTGGCATGTATACTGAAAGTGAAAAACAACTTAATATGATCAGTTAAACATAGAGATCCTGAAGCAGCTGTCTGCGATGCTTTAGGAAATTATCATCTTTCTGTTTGACTCCCTATTTAAATGTATTGAAGTGTGTGAAGTCCCTGTAATAATATTGTCAATAGGGATTAAATTTACCACAAAAGGTGAGTGCTTGTCCATTACAGAGCAAGCACATTGTTTAATTATATAATTAGTCTTAGTTACCGCGAAACAATTAAAACTGATTTGCAGAAATAACATGGGGAGTTTTAATTTGCTGGAGCACTGGAAGTGGATAATAGATGAAATTGACATACGTTGGGAAGCAAGTTTTAGTCTGCTGATTTCCACATTTCAGTTGAGCATGTATGACTGTGTGTGCACCACTCCTTAAGGACAGGTGAGTTGTCAGAGCACCATTTCAATGCACTGCAGTTCAATGTTGGGTTTACAACAATATTTCATGTAAAAAATTGAGGTTGTGCATGGCCAGTTTTTCTTACTGCACAGTACCATTAAATTCTTGTGCCTGGCAGTGCATGCACAGTATTTAACCTAAAATGACGTCTGCATGGTACATTCCAAGCTGCTGTGCAGCCATGCACACAAGCATCTTAACAGTGATGTTTGTCCAAGGGTTTTCCACACTTCCTGAAATTCTGCAGTGAACACAACATAAAGACACTGTGACAATTGAGGAAGCTAAATCATCTTGGAATACATGCCAGTAAATACCCAGTGCTTACAGCTCCTCTATTATTTGCTGGTGCAAAAGAGTTTTCTCATATTGCTTTCATAGGGTCGGTTATTTTCTGCACATGGAAGTCTTTTGCAATCAAATTAGAATGATTCTTACATATGGAAAGATATGAAACCAAGGATAAAAATTCTAAAATTGAGGTATTGTTGAATTAGGAGTCAACTTAGGTTAGCAAGCATATGTTGCCTTAAAATTAGCCCTTGGATGAGAATCAAGGTGACCAGCAGCTTCCTAGAAGATCATGCAGGAACTCTTTCCACTATCTTAATGGTTTTTCTATATGGAATAATGGATCAGCAGAGCAACCACACTTTAATATTATGTTGTTTAATTCATTTAGAAATTGGAGAAATATTTGGATTAATGTACCCACGAGTCATCAGAATACTACAGTGATGAAATAATGATGAAATGCAATGATTCGTGTACTACTGGCACTTACTGTCAATTTTATTCAAAGGTTTGCCAACGGGTTAAAGAATGAAGATTGATAGCTCAATAAACTGGCACTTTCATAGATTATCTTTGGGAGAAATTTTGTGGTCTGTTAAAGGAATTTAACTAAGTAGGTTACCATATAACATATTAGAGATAGCTCATGAGATCGATGAAAGCATGGGCTTGGTGGGCTGAATAGCCCTTCCTTCCCAAGATATGTTCTTATGTACATATTTCTCATGCAGCAGTGATGGAACAGTCCCTTTGAATAACTAAACAGTGCACAAAGGCTGTGTGGAATGGATCAGCGTCTCAGCATCCTACTGTACATCTCTGTCATATATTGGAAGGAAGTTATTCCATAAAGGACTAAGAGGTAATGCTTCTCTTGCAAGCTTTTTTGTTACTTTTGGTTGTGAACAGTCACTCTTTTCATTCAATGTAATCCACTCGAGATCCTGAGCCAGTTTAGAGTGTAACAGTATGATGGCTCCTTAGGTTTAAATCTTTTGCATGCATTTTGTCTCTTTACAGCTTTCCTGTTGTGTAGAGCAATTCTGTTCTACTGAGAATTGAAAGAATCCACAGATATAGTCTGTATTCACAATTTTCAGAATAGGGAAAAAAAAATTAAACATTTGCTTGTTTAGTTTGCTGTAGACAATTTCTGTTTTTGGCTTCTTGCAAATTATTATTTTACATAAAACTGTCCTGAAATTGATGACTTCATTTCTATTGTACATTTACAATTAAATCTTCTGCAGTTAACTTCTGGCTATTGTATACCCAAAAGATGTAACTTTATTATTGAAATTATGTCATAATTCAGAGGACTTTTCAAATTTTTGGTCATTTTAGACCTGATCAAAATAGTAAACTTAACATTGGTTTGTGCAGGACTGCTACCTAAAAATTAGTCACCAGCTGAGCTGTGGGCAAATGTTACTTAAAATTGAGGATTTGTATGAAAAGATGCATCCTAATCAAAGCGGTTACAATGGTTTAACCTCCTTTAATCTGAGTACTGTAACGGCCATTTCTTTTTATTTTTCTGTATTTCTAATTGTGGGCAGAAAAAGAATTGTTTCAAAAACCAAAGGTTTCTGGGCATCTCAAAGACACAGTGGTTAGCACTGCTGCCTCACAGCACCACAGACTCTGCTCCAATTCCACCCACGGGCGACTGTCTATGTGGAGATTGCATGTTCTCCCCATGTCTGTGTGGGTTTCCTCCAGATGCTCCAGTTTCCTCCCCTAGTGCAAAGATGTGCAGGATAGGTGGATTGTCCGTATTAAAACACCGCATACTGTCCAGTGATATGTCCAGTGATAACCCAGGTTGAGTGGGTTACTTATTGTAAATAAGGGCTAGGATGGGAGTCTGGGCTTGGGTGGGATGCCATTCAGAAGGTAGCAGACCCAATGGGCTGAAAATGCCTTTTTCTCCACAATAGGGATTCTATGATTCTGAAAGATTACTGCAGTTTTTGAAAGCAAGTAATCTGTCAGTCATTGTAAGTCCTGTACATACAGCTGCTGGTTCAAGCAGCAGTAAATGGTTTGCAAACATGGAGAATCAGTCAGCAAAATGTAGCTAATTCTCTGTGGACTAGTGACCAGTAATTGATGGAAAAGGCCTTTTGCTTGCCAACAACTAAGTGACTGGTTCCCACATAGCTAAGCAGGTTGGGGTTGTGAACAAAATATGGAGAAACCATCAGATCTCCACGAACTCAGAAACGGTCTCTGTTCTATGCCTGAAGAAAATCCACTTATTTTTCCTTCAGCAGTTAATGGAAGCTGTGACTTTTACTTGATGTGCAGTGACTTTTTATACGTGTGAACCAGTCATCGCGTGTCTCCTAAAACAAGTGAAAACATCTGGTGAAGGAAGATAGGGGAGCTGTGTTCTGATCAGCAAGCTATGTGGACTAGGGGCCACCGAATTGTCTTCCTACTCTTTCCCTCTGCCCAAAGCACCCATTTGTTTTCCCCTTCTGCTTCTGATTGTGTGTGGGATTTCATTAGGGGCTACAGCTTTACTAGTAGAGTTATGTGACAACAGCTCATAATTGATGCCTGTAGAGTCTATTTCATAAAATCCCTGCAGTGTGGAAGCAGGCAATTTGGCCCATACGGTCCACACCAATTGAAGAGCATCCCAGTCAGACCCACCAACCCCCACCCTATCGCTGTAACATTTCCCATGGCTACCCCACCTAGACTACACATCCCTGGATACTATGGGCAATCCACCAAACCTGCACGTCTTTGGACTGTGGGAAGAAACCAGAGCACCTGGAGGAAACCTACACAGACAAGGGGAACATGTGCAAACTCCACATAGTCACCCGAGGGTGGAATCAAACCCAGGTCCCTGGCGCTGTGAGGCAGCAGTGCTAACGACTGACCCACCTTGCCCACCTATTTATAATAAATAGTAATGCTTGTAAAGTATAGCAACCGTACATGTTTTCTGTTAACCCCCTGGAGCTAAAAGTCAGGTAAATTGCAGAATTTTGCATTTTTAAAAAAATCTTTAACTTTTGTGACAACTCTGGGAGTAACGGGCTTGATTTTCAGTGCACTACCTCAAGTGAGGCATAACAAGACATTCAGGACTTCTGGTTCTGTGCTGATAAACCATAAATGAAAGGATATTAAGAAAAAGTGTATCTGTTTATTTATTTATTAGGTAAATAAATCCATATTCACATCAGAAATGCTTCTTGGCCAACAGATGATTTTTGAAGACCCATCACATTGCACTCCTTGTGATCCTTTCTTGTTAACTGACTTGAGTGCAAAGTGTTTGTTTTTTGCATTATATTTCCCAAGGGAAATTTACTAAGTCAGTGCACATCTCCATTTTAATTAGAGTATGGTAAGAATTCACAGTTTATTAGATAAAGTTACAAATGTAAAAATCGAGCTGTTCTTGTCCAGCCAGTCCTTCGTTGAGATTTGTATGTGTTAGATATTCCCAAATAAAAGTTTAATTTTGAAGAATAATTTGCCTGACGAACAAAGTAAAATAATGCATTATGGCATGCTGCTTTATAACCAAACTCTTGTAAAATGTGTGCATTTTACAAAATTAAATGTAAACTTATTATTTTCCAGAGCTCAATATTCTAACATGATGTACAATGAAATTAGCATGTTGGAAATCACATCTAATACTGACAGCCTTCAGATGTGGGCCAAAATGTGATAGAACATACAACAAATATTGGGAGAAAGCAAAAATGCTGGAAATATCTGCAGTGCCTGTCAATCTTTGAAGTTATTGGCATGCAGACCATTGATGAGGTTATATTATAATGTCACAATTATATACTTTCCTACCAGTGATCAAAACTATTAAGTCTCCTGATTAAATCTTTATTGAAAATCAGTGCTGGCTGCAAAGTGCAATGTCCATAGCAAAGTTCTTTCCCTTCAGGAAATGCTAGGGGACAGAGGGTCAAGCATGAAGGAGCAACTGAAGGAAATCCTTATTAGTCAAGAAATGGTTTTGGGGAAATTGAAGGGATTAAAACCTGATAAGTCCCCAAGGCCTGATGCTTTGCATCCCAGAGTACTTAATGAAGTGGCCCTAGAAATGGCAGATGCATTGGTGATCATTTTCCAGCATTCTGTAAACTCTGGAAGAGTTCCAGTGGATGGAAAGATAACTAATGTAACCCCACTCTTTAGAAAAGGTGGGAGAGAGAAAAGGGGAAATTGTAGGCTGGTTGGCCTGACGTCAGTGTTGGGGAAAATGCTGGAGTCAATTATTAAGGATGTAATAACTGAGCATTTGGAAAGCGATGACAGATTCAGTCCACTACCCAAGGGCCCAAACATGCCTTCCAGGTGAAACAACACTTCACCTGCACTTCCAAGAATCTAGTCTACTGCATTTGTTGCTCACAATGTGGTCTCCTCTACATTGGGGAAACGAAGCGTAGACTTGGCGACCGCTTCGCAGAACATCTACATTCTGCTCACAAAAAAGACCCTGAACTACCTGTTGCCTGCCACTTCAATGCACCACCCTGCTCTCTGGCCAACATCTCTGTCTCCAGCTTGCTACAGTGTTCCAGTGAAGCCCATTGCAAGCTGGAGGAACAACATCTCATTTTCCGCTTGGGGACCCTACAGCCCTCCGGACTCAATATTGAGTTCACTAATGTTAGGGCCTAAACTCTCCCATGTCCCAGCCCCACACCCCACACACCAGGCCTTGTTACCACGTAGCCTGCCATTACACAGCCCCTGTTGTTAGTCACTAACAGTCCCCATTAACAACTATTCACCCTCCCAGCCTGATCGTTAGCAACTCCTTTGTCTGTCCAACTGTCTTTCTCTCTCTTTGGGCTCTATCTTATCGTTTACTCCCTACCCCACCCACCTCCCTATTTTCTGCATAAAAACTGACGTTTCCCAGCCACCATCAGTTCTGAGGAAGGGTCACCGGACCCGAAACGTTAACTCTGTTTTCTCCTCCACAGATGCTGCCAGACCTGCTGAGCTTTTCCAACAACTTTGCTTTTGTTCCTGATTTACAGCATCCGCAGTTCTTTTGGTTTTTACAGATTCAGTCCTAGTCAGCATGGATTCACTAAAGGGAAATCATGCTTGACAAATCTTCTGGAATTTTTTGAGGATGGGACCAGTTGAGTGGACAAGGGTGAATCAGTAGATGTTGAGGATCTGGACTTTCAAAAGGCTTATGACAAGGTTCCACACAAGAGATTAGTAAGGAAAATTAAAGCTCATGGTATTGGAGGTAATGTGTGACCTGGATGGAGAACTGGTTGGCCGACAGGAACCAGAGTTGAAATCCTTTTCAGAGTGGCTGGCAGTGCCAGGTAGGGTACCACAGTGTTCAGTGGTACGACCCCAGCTGCTCACAATACACATTAATCATATGGACAAAGGAATTGAATGCCATATCTCCAAATTTGCAGATGACACTAAGCTGGGTGGCAGTGTGTGCTGAAAGGAGAATGCTAAGAGGCTGCAGGGTGACTTGGACAGACTAGCTGAGTGGGCAAATACAGTATAATGTGTACAAATGTGAGGTTATCCACTTTGGTCACAATAACAGGAAGGCAGATTATTTATCTGAATGGTGGCAGTTTAGAGAAAGGTGAGGTGCAACAAGACCTGGGTTTCATGGTGGAACAGTCGCTGAAGGTTGGCATGCAGGTGCAGCAGGTAGTGAGGAAAGCTAATGGCATGCTCTCCTTCATAGCAAGAGGATTTGAGTGTCGGAGTAAGGATGTCTTGCTGCAGTTATATAGGTGAGGCCACACCTTGAGTATTGTGTGCAGTTTTGGTTTCCTAGTCTGAGGAAGGACATTCTTGCTATTGAGGGAGTCCAGTAAA